TCTTTAGCCCTTTTTATCTCTTTGGTGAGATCGAAACCTCGAGCATGGATCTCTTCGAGGGTCTCCCTCCGAGATCGGCATTTAGTAAGTTCAGCAACCCAATGTGCTCGAGTATTAGCGGTCTAGGCTGCCTCTCTTGCTTGTACCTGAGCAGCTTCAGCATCGGCCCGATAAATGACCACGAATGCATCCGCATCGGCCTTTGCCTTTTCGGCGTCAGATTTGGCCTTGGCAAGTTCGGAGGCCAACCAAGACTCGAGCTCCTCTATTATTCTTGCTTGAACCGAGCTTTTTTCCTTCATGCTTTGAAGTTGGTTTTCGGCCGATGATAATTGGGCTCGACTAGTTTTTTTTTCTGCGGCAAGACGGTCCATGCCATCTTTCCATCCCAAGGCCTCCGCCCTTATCATATAGACCTCCTCACGAAACTTCCCAATAACTTCAAGCTTCTGCTGCAGCTGTGAGATCGAAATATTAGCCACCGTTCCAGAATCGAGCCCATGGGTTTTTAAGATTACCATTACCTGCTCGGTCAGGTCGGTCTGATCTTGTTGAGCCTTGGCCAATTCAGCTCGGAGGTACTTGATTTCTTCTTCCCTTTGTCCGAAGATGATTCTAAGGGCGTTCCTATCCTTCGTGACCCGTCGTAGGTTGGCCTCATATCGATGCAGCTCAACTCGAGACCGAGAACACGCTTCTCGATGAATCGCTGTGGCCTACGAAGAAAGAAGAAAAGAAGTTAGAAAAGAATAGCAAACATGAAAGTGGTATCAACGAAGGAAGTTAGAGCTTACACGATTTAGAGCTTGTTGCACTTCACAGAAAAGGCCTGACATATCACAGGGCCAGCAACTTCCTCGACACCAGTAAACAAATCACAGAAGGGGTCCTCCCCTTCATGTGATCGGTTTATCTCGAGGGCCCCCAAAGCTTGGGCTTCCCGAATCGCCCCTTCGAAAAAAAGCAGGAAGAGTAGGCGAGTCTCTGATTACTATTGCCCCAAGCGACTCGCTTGGGGCGTTCTCCTCAATTCGAAGAGCTTCAGGACCGGTCCTTTATGATATACCCACCGTTTGTTATCTTCGGTGGGAAGCATCCTCGATCTCTAACGATTCAGGGATTCTGCCCGAACCTTCCTCTGATATCTCCTCAGTCCGAGGCGGAGCTTTATAAATCACCATCGATTCTGCTGCCTTTGGGGCATCGATGGTTTTCTTCATTCGAGCCACCAGCACGGATCCGTCATTTTCTTCTTCTTCTTCTTCTTCTTCTTTTTTGTCTTCATCCCTTAGACGCAGAACTGATTCTATGGTCAAATGGATGGTATTCTTCCTCGGCTTATGAGCCATCCTCGTCTTCGATTTTGGATCTTCGGAAGCGGAGGCCCTTTTTATCTTATTATCCTTCACCAGTTTTGGAATAGAGGCCAAAGCCTCTTCCTTGACGGACGGGGCCCTCAAAACTGCATCTTTGCCCATACCTACATACAAGAAAATTGATTTAAGTATATGGAAAGCATCTCGTTCTAACTACCAAAGGTACGAGAAAAAGACTTACCATGATTTTTGGCCTCCCATCGGCCCTTTGACAAATTATGCCATGAGCGCTCGACATATGTGGAGGTTGAAGCTAGATCCCGTACCCAGTTCTTGAGGTCAGGAACTGCACTGGGCATCCAAGGAACCGCTGCATCACAAAAAGGGGATATCGGTGAGAAAATAAATAAAAGGGCAAAATAGTAGGAGATAACAACAGAATTACACTAATGCTTCATGTTCCACTCCTCGGGAAATGACATCTTTTCAATCGGAATCAGGTCCGAAGTCTTCACTCGAACGAACCTGCCCATCCAGACTCGATCCCTATCCTCGTCTATGCTCAAGAACAGAACCTTGGTAGCCCGACGCTGAAGTTTTATTAACCCGCCTCGAAATAGGCGAGGGCAGTACAATCGAATGAGTTGGTCGAGGGTGAAAGACATCCCCTCGATTTTATTCACGAAGTAACAGATCAAAATAACGATCCGCCAAGAAGAAGGATGGATCTGACCTAGGGTTATTTGGTATTGACGACAGAAATCAATAATAACATGGTTGAGGGGACCTAACGTGAAAGGGTAAGTATACACACTTAAAAACCCTTTCACGTAAGTGGTGATATCTTCTTCAGGAGACGGGATTACTATTTCTTTGTTCTCCCAATTGCAATCTTTCTTTAGTTGTTCGAGATATCCCTCGGTTATCAAACACACGTACATCGATACTGGCTCACATCGACCGGGAACCGACGAGCCTTTGTCTACCTTGAAATTAGAGGTAAGAACACACGTCCAAGGAACGCACGCCTCAGGTCGTGGCTCCACCGGTGTTTTGTTGGCGGCAGGCTGTGAAGAACAAGCTTTTTCTTTATTAGGAATGGTTTTTGATGTTTTCGCCATTTTTGGATTTAAAGATCGAAAATAGAAGGAGGTAACAAAGATTTGGTGTTTTGAAGAGAGATTTTGTAGTGAAAAATCACAGATTTACAGATAAACTCAGAAGTTGCAAGAAGGAACTTTATAAAATTTGGAGATTGGAGATGCAAAAGTGGTAAATGGTAAAGAAATGGGCTATTTATAGATTAAGCAACGTCGGTTCAGTATCAATAGTGGCCGACCATCGTTTGACACGCATTAAATGCCTTGGAAAACTAAACCGACGGGACAATTATCACGTGCGTCATGATCGAGCCTGATGCAAACGTCAGCGCATATCCAATCGAGCCGTTGGGAAATCATATCGTTTCTCGCCACATCCTTCCCGAGAAACGCGGGGACTATCTGTATACGGTCGAAACTGATTTCGGCCTTCGTACGACTTGTCGAGATGGGATCATAATGGGCCGAAGAAAGTCTTCATAAAATCGAGATGGATCCGAAGATGGCACAAACGAGCTTCAGATTTTAGGTACAGATCAAATACCGAGCTCGAAGTCATTATCGAGTTCGGGTCCGAATTGAACTATGATGAGATGTGATTGAATCGAGCTTAAGGGCCAGAGGCCAACCAATACCGAGCCCAAGTCATTACCAGACCCCGAGTCAGCATCGACCTCAAACCCGCATCGAACTCTAAAGCTGGAAACCGACTAATATCGTCCAATACCGAGTCCGATCAGGATCGAACTCATAGACAAGAGCCGTTGCAGCCGCACTAAGGGGGGAATCTCGGCGGGAATTAGGAAAAAACTGATTTACCATGGGTTCCCCACTATGTATTTTTAATTATATCTAAAGTAAGATCCCCACTATAAAAGGGATGACTATATTTCTGTAAAAGCACAAGTTTTGCATACATTATAACTGAGATATCATGCACTCCTATATTGAAGAGTTATCCTTTTTAGCTTCATAAATTGATTCATCTTGCTTAATCCATTAATCATCTTCTTTCTAACCTTGTTTATTTTTCATTCTCTACCGTTGCCACTCGATATTTCTATATATTCTTACGATTTGTATCAAGTTATACCACATACCCTTAGAACTACGTACAAATTAAACTCTATCCGTTTTTCGGGTAAACAAATTATATACGCAAAATCCCGTCAGTTGGTCCCGGACCTTAATAGCCTTGCTAAGCCAAACTAACCAGTTAAAACTTGCAAGTACCTTGATCACATGTAAAACACAATATAAGAATAATCAATTTTTTTCCTTTTGAGTCAAATTGTGCAAGCCAAATATTACAACACAGGAAAAAAGCAAAAAAATGAAGAAGAGGACCACTCACTTAGTAATGGTCGAATCTTAAAGACAACTAATCTAATCAAACTATTTGTCTATTAATTGTGGGTATATCTAAAACAAAACTTGATTCCCTCAAAAACTTGACACTACAAGCTAGTGTTTGGTGAGGTTCCAACACTGTAGTTAATATAAAATTATGAAAGAAGTTAACGGACTTAGAGTATAAATATTTCATTTGATTTCTTCCTTCAAAGCTACGTGCTAGCTATCCTTAAAGAACGCATTAAAATAGACTCCATATCAATTTTAGCCATTAAACTATGTTCCTAAAGTCATAGTACAATTACACATGTTAACATGTAACAAGAAATGCATCAGCAAAATATTCATGTTAGAAAGAATCGTCGATTCCCTCAATAAAAAATATTTAAAGTGATGGGGTATGTCTCAACGTCCATTTTATAAAGTTAATTAAAGAAGAAAAATTGTCAACATCTAGCTAAAAAGTCATTGCCTATTGAAATACACTTTTGAATCTAATCATCCACAAAATTTGACTTTAAAGGGTATTGCCCTTCCTTTTTCCTCCCCCATTGCTAAAGATTTCAACCTCAATCCTCACTTATTCTCTTACATGCAGTTTCTTTTTCTTTTAACTTTTTTGGCATTTTCCTTTTTAAAAGTTGTAAATTAATTACGTAACATATCCGCTTAACTCAATAACAACAATCCCACGGGTATGATCGAGAGGTTAATGTGTCCGCAGATCTTACCCTACCTTGTGAGGATAGAGAGATTTTTCCAAATTATCCTTGGCACAAGGTTAGATGCAAAATCTCTGCTTAGACAATTGTTTGAAAATTAGGTGTGGAGAAAAAAGAAAACCAAATTTCCACCATTTTATTTTATATGACAGTTTTATCTAATTCAAAAAAATAATATCTTTTTATATTTAAAAAAAATTAACTTTAATTTTGTCAATTTATCCTTATTAACATGCTCTTATAATCATCAAATATTATNCAATTCCCATCTTGTGCCCTTAAATCCAGTGGTTTTCCCCACAGAACAATATGCATTGCAGAAGGGGTTTTTTGAATCCCACAGTTTTTATATCCATTACAGTCACTAGAAGGAAAATGCACATGCTTTTATTCTACTTTGTAGATATCCCAGAAAATGACTCATCATTGATTTAGCTTTGGCCTTCCAAATAAGGCCAAAGGATCCTAACAATTATAAATTAACAGTAGCAACTGAAAAGAAGAAGAAAAAAGGCAATAGTACCATTTGTTTTTGAGCTAAAGAGAAAAAGGCCAATCATAACATTTTTTTAAACAAGCTAGTAATAAAGACACCTCAATTAGTTAACTACTAGTAATCCTATATACAAACATATTATTGATTAATATAGTGTAAATTAAGCTACAAAGGAAATTTAGCAAATTCCTTAGAACACTAAAGGATTGAGCCAAATCTTGAATTGAAAAACTCAATATTGCCAGAACCAACAAGGCTGATGATCCTCAATTTGGAATCCCAAATTGCATGAATTAGCTTGAATTTGATCTCCAATTTCAGGGAAGCATAAAAAGCTCTTACTTAAGTTGTCATCTTCATCTTGAGAAAAATCAGATGGCTCTGCTTCAAATGCATTTGAAGAATGATTCCCATCAGTATAATGTGGGCTATCTGAATCAATAACATCACTTTTAGCTGAACTTGCATCTTCTTGTTTGCATACTACCTTTTGTATACTTGGCACTTCTGAGGTAACAACATTTGGAGTTGCCTTTTGAGCCTCTTCTGCATCTACTGGACTAATTGGTTCATTTTGCCCTGAATTTTCCTTCCCTTTCTCCCTCCTAAGCATTTTTTCTTTCAGCAAATCAACCTATTCAACAACAAAATCAAAGAATATATTAGAAACATTTTTAAGAAAATAGACTTTACGCCTGGCTCAATCCTAGAAGCTAAGACATGAGGTTAGGATGTCCAAGACCATAGTTTATTCCCTTAACTAATGTGAGACACTAACAACCTACACGTCTAGGTTTGGACATCAGATACGTGAACAATATAACATGGGGTTCCAGAAGGGGAGCCTTCGCGTAGCTGGTAAAGTTGTTGCGATGTGACCAGCAGACCACGGGTTCGAGCCGTGGAAACAGCCTCTTGCAAAAATGAGGGATAAGACTGCGTACAATAGGCCCTTTCCTGGATCCTCCGCATAGCGGGAGCTTAGTGCATCAGGATGCACTATAACATGGGGTTCCAATATTGAATAAACAAAAGGTAGGAATGTTCGATTATGATATCATGTTACGAAAATAGACTTTAGGCCTAACTTAATCAAAAGGCTAGCTCATAAGACAAGGATTGTCTCATAAGACGAGGATTGTCTCATACGAGACCACAAATCATTTCTTCCTGACTAATATGGGGTACATAACAAACCCCTTTGTAAATCTAATGCCAATGAAGAATGCTGGTTTTATAGGGAGTTTTCAAGATACCTCATTTCTCAAATTCTCATTCTCTTTGAAAAGGGAGTCATAATCATCCTTAAGTTTATCAAAGCTAGCTTTGAGAACGTCATAGTCCTTCTCAAGTAGTTTAGTCTTGTATCTAGCACGTCTGTTTTGAAACCAAATAGCAATTTGCCTAGGTTGTAGGCCAAGTTCTTGAGCCAATTGAACTTTCCTCTCTGGTTCCAGCTTGTTATCTACCTCAAAACTCTTCTCAAGAAACTGCACTTGATTGGGTAAAAGTCTTCTTTTCTTCTCTGGCCGGTGAAAGCAACTATCATAATCATCGGTGCTAGTTTCTTCTTTGTCAATTGGTGAGAAAAATGACATCTCTTTACTAATTTCTCCTCGACCATCTTCGAAATTAACCATTGATGTAGGCCCTGAAACAGAACAAAATTGACAAAGAGCAAGGTCACTAATGCATCAAAATCTTGAAAAATTCTCAGGGAAACACCAGCCGCTACCCTTTGGGTGCGCACCGAATAACCTGCTAACTATGCAATAGCTCGCAAATCACACAGTAAATGTAAATCGCACTAGATGTAAATCGCACTATGCAAGCTCGGTGCGATGAGCTCTGACCGAAGAGGCGGCTGGTGAGGGGAATCGATATCAGGTCTCCCACGTGATAAACCACTCACCCAACCAACAACCAATTCTTAAATACCTTGTTCATTTCCTTTGCTTGACTGCTAAATAATAGATTTTCTAGTTCTAAAACTAAAAAGACTCAAACTTGGACCAAATATTGTAGTACAAAACAAGTGTCAAAACCCTTTATATTGAATTGAGCAGTGAAAGGAAGTTAGTAAAAAACTACCAAATTTTCAGTAACCATACACTAGAAGTAGAGAAAAAAAGTCAAAAGAACTATAAGCTTACAAGAAAATAAAAGGAAGAATAACAAGAACATATATTTAGCAGGGTGCAAAAGAGAATTACCATGAAAAGAGGGGGAAGAATTGGACATCCAGAGATTATGAAGAACCTCAGAAGGCAAAACAGAATTAGCAGTAGACATGTTAGAACCTTCCTTAACTCTTCCAACTTCCATAATTATTTTCTTGAACCTTGGAGTTTTCTTGGGCGCAAGAATTATGAAAAATATCTGGTATTTAAGCAGTGGAAAATGGGATTTTTTGATTGAATTTTGAAGTTTGAAGCAAAAAGGATGTGATTAACACTAAGGTTATGTCACAAGTAAGAGAATAAAGAAGGGTCACTGCCATCATCTAGAAAAAGAGACTCAAAAATTGAGTTAAGAAAACAATGCATAAAAATGATGAAAGAGGGAAGAAAAAAGAGAAAGAGAAAGAGAAAGAGAAAAGACGATTCTTCCTTGGGAAGAGGAGATTGATGGGGTTTATAAACAAGCTAGCTGAAAGTGGCAACATAGAGCTTTCTTCTTGCAATGGAACACGGGCTGATCTTGAATTTCCTATTTTGCCCCTGCAGTTAACTTTTACTTTTCTATTTTATTTTCTAACTTGTTTTTGAATTTGGTTATGACAATGTAAAGATCATACCCTTTGGAGTAGTCTGGTTCTAGTACATTGTTTCTGACTTTGTTGATTTTAAATGGAGAAATATGATCAATGCAAATTTATATAATCAATTTATTTGGTATTGAAGCATGGTCGTTGTGATTGTCGTTCTATACATTTATTATGTCATAGACATACCACTTTTTTCTTTAGCTGCATTATTCTAATATTCTGAAAAGTTATAGGTATATATAATTTAACATTTACTTATGTTAATAAATTAAAATCTCTAAAATGTATTAGTAAATGACTTCACAATTATAATGTAGTTATGCATAATACCAAATACTAGCATAAAAAAGATTAACTTTTCGGCGTAAGAGGGAACATGTCTTTATGGCCATTTACAATGAAAATACAATTTTTAAATTTTTTAAAAATTGTAAGAGGGAATGCATGCTGTTTCACTGAGACCCATCATTAACGATCTCAACTATTTTGTATGGAAGAAATCCGACAGCTCTTGTAATATGCCAGGGTATTTGTTGATAATGCACCTCACATTTGGCCTATGAGCACGACTTATTCCAAAATCATAACGCCAATCAAACTCATTACCACCATCATTCACTTTTTATTTTTATTTTTAATAATCGTAATTTTTGGGTCAATTTACTCGCATTTCTGTCTAATATTTCAAGGTACTTGTTATTTCTTGTCCGACAAGGTTTGAATTGATGAAAAAAAATAATCTAGTATTTTTTATCTTCGCTAAAATTTAAATTTAAGATCTCATGATTCTCAACCTTATTTAGTTTTGGCAAGTAAAACCTCATTGACTATTAATTAGGCCACAGATACCGACTTGCAATGAACTGATGGATCGATTTCATGCATAATCTCAAGGTTAGATAACATTCACATTATTAATCACATTATATATTAACAATGTAAACATTATTTTCACACAATATCAAAGGACTTCTTTTTGATTTTCTTTGCCAATGTAACTCATGTTTAACTATTTGAATAAGATGACCAATAAGTGAGATTGTGTGCGAAGAAGCATCATAAGTACCCGAGTACGTGTATCCAGTAATTTCTATGCTCTTCTATTTTCCAACTCATAACCATGCTACAATATTGTACATTATCCACTTAATTATATGATTGGAATGAATAATTTAAACAAACAATTTGAAGGTACATTTTGTCATATGTTGGACGAAAAATTATTTTGACCTTAAGCAATGTTAAATGAAAAAAAGCATTTTATCACACGACAGTGTGATCGGTAGTCTAAAGGCTCCCAACTTATTGGTATTAGCAGGTGCATTTGTCAATTATGGATAAATTAAATATTTTTATTTTAAATTCATGTTAAATGAAGAAAGCAATTTGTCACCTGACAAATTGTCTCTAAAAAGCTCCATGGCATTTATTTTTAGGATTTGTGGTCCAAAATTGTGAATTACGTATGGACTCAACTCGGGCTTTTCATAAAAAAAATAAACAATATGTAATTAATGTGTTATATCATCACACGTCAACTATTTTCTGTTGAACTAATATTCTCTTAAATTTTCATCTGATGTGATGTATGTGTTATCCATCTATACATTTTATTCTACCAGCATTACGTATCCCTTTTAATTATTTAGCTATAGGTTTCCTAAAGTAATTGTTAGTCAATGTTATCCTTTCTTAACATGATGCATTTATACTAACTTATATACTAACACCTTATTTAATTAGCTAGGCATTTACCGAAATTAATTTTGTTTTTAGGGTTTACGACATGAAAATCCTCTAAACATTATTTATTTTATTTGAAATTTGAGCAGCTTTATACGAGGTTGATTCTAACTAAGTAGTTCCGTTTCTTCAGTTACGTACACCCCCATCAAAACAAAAATAGAAAACATATTTCGATCATTTCACCAAATATAAAACATAAGAGGTGCATGCATGAATTCAGTATTTTTTTGTACGAAATATGAAAAATCACTAAAACTTAATAATATGGATATTAACTCATTAAATTTAATCGGAGGCCTCTATAAACCATGTTTAAGTGATATTTACGTGCAAAGCGTAAATATCACTCTCATAAAATCATGCCAAACAAAAGAGGGAAAGTAGCAGAAACTAGTAAGCAAAGAAAGTTGCAGAGGCCTAAAAAACCCTCCATAAAAAGGCTACCTAAAAATGTAAAGATTGGTAGGTAAGAGAGGGTGCAAAAATCTTTAATTTCATATTGAAAAAATTGGAAAAGAATATCCACCTTTCGAAATTCTGAAGGTTTTGCTGGCATTTCTGTATTATTATGGGAAAAAAGGAATTAAAAAGATTGGCATTCTTTAGCCCAATTCATTGAACTGCGAAAAGATCACTTTAGAAAAAGATGTTGAAGCTCATTCATTGGCTGCATTGCGTGGTTGATTTTATCACAGGGATACCATCTGCAAAGAACAAGAACCCCAACTAGTATACCATTTAAAAAGTTGGCAAAAAAGTTAGTGCCCCATTCATTTGAACTTCAGTGTCCTATTTGAATACCAGAATTTTTAAATATCTTCCTGGCTTTTAATTTATTCTTTCAGATTCATAATTAGCTTCTCTGTTGGCAGTTGCAGCTCAATTTTTAATTATTATATTATTTTGTAAATAAGTGTTGTAGATATACGAATTCCAAGATAGTTACGCGGTCATACAATATTAGACAAAGTAACTAAAAGTCAAAAATTCTAACATATAGAAGGTGTAAGTAGCATATAAAGAAGATAAAATAAGAGAATGTTACTTGAGATGATTTGGTCATGTATGTCAATTTTCAAACGGAGTCTATAGGTACGATATGGTGAGTGAGTGTGCTAAAAGGAAATATTGTAAACCTAAAATCATATGAAAGAAAATTATAATCTCTTGATCTAAAAAAGCAGGGCACAATGAAAATAAAGAAACTACGTAGACGACACCAATTAGTTAGAACTAAGCTTTAATTATGTTAGTATCTTTATTTTAGGTCCAATATTTTCTACTAGTCTTTTATTCATGTCAAGTATTTATGGACTAGCAGCGGAGAATATAAAGAACCTTTAATGCTCTTAGTGTTACTTTTAATTTTATTTTATATAATATTTAATTGAGATGAGCTTAAATTCATCGATATGGACGGTAAATATTTATATAATCAATCCCAATTTATTCGAAACTGAGATGTGAATGTTATTGTTCACTATAAGCTTTTAAACTTACTCATAAATTTGGAAAGCAACGAGAATTAATTAATTTTTTATGTTTTCTTATAAATGTATTAAGCTAGCAGTTCCTTGGTTTTCCCTATTTTTAAGTTTTTATTTACGAAGTCGTGTCGTCTATGAGACAATATCACAGTCATTTTTGGTCCAGTACTAAAATTTGAAAGTCAAAGAACATAAGTTCAGAGAAGCAACGCATGAATTTATAACTTGTATCTAATCTCATTTTTTGAGGTGTACATTTTTTGGTCCACAACTTTTTGGGCACAGAAGATTTTCAAGTGTGCACAACACGTTAAAACCTAACATAGGAAAAACTCGGGAAAAGCATAAGCATTATCGTAGCTTAATTAGCTATGATATAGAACGAGATTACATAAAGTTATGTACTTCAGTATTTCTTTTTCCAGAAGCTTGAAACGTGATGTAGTTTACAACAATAACAAAAAATCTATCATAAATCTCGTGGAGTTTGGGAGGGTAATATGTACGCAGACCTTATATCTTTATTTTGAGAAAGTAGAAAGACTGTTTCCGTTAGACCCTGCTCAATGACGAAACATGATACAGTGATATACTCGAAATCAGTGTCACAAATTTGATTCTGCTAATTTCCTAGCTATTGCATACTAAAATAGTTAGGTTGTAAATTTTTCCCCATTAACTAGGTATAAAAATGATATTGCCTATTGTTGAGATCAACATAAATATATTTGAATTCTTTTCCTGGTCAAAGAATATTTGACGGTCTTCTAAATAACAAGATGGCAATGTAATTATGGGAAGACTGAAAATATACCGACTCGTAATTTGTGAATATCCCAGTTTAGCCTCATTTTCCACCTAGCTTATTTTTAACTATTTGAGATGTGTTGTGAGTATAATATGAAATGCTCGTACATGCATTATGCAATTATATGGCAGTCTCCTTTGTCAGTAGAGAAACTTACTTTCATTTACAAATATCTATATAATAATTGTGTTATTCCGGATACAGTTGTTGTTTTTTAAGTGATTCATAATTATATACCTATGTATTTCATATTTAGACCTTAGTTAGTTGTTATAAAAAAATATTCAAAAAGTCATTTTTCATTTGGTTATGCTATCAAATATTTAATTTTAAAATCTAAAATGATATTCCTATTTCATTAATTTTAATTTTTAAAAAGCTAATACAATATTTATAAAGTGAAATAGGTTAAAAAAAGAAAAGAAAAAAAGGGCAGAACACAAAAAGACGTCAACTTCATCTTAAGTTAGGGTTAATTTCACTGATGGTCATTGAACTGTCTTTCAATTTCACTAAAGTCATATAGCTATTTTTTGTCACTTAAAAGTAACTAAAACTTTATCATTGTCACTTAAAAGTCATTTTGCCTCAAACCCCTACCATAAATATGATATGGCATTAAAGTTTAGTGCTGTGACATTTATTTTTGGATTTTTATCATAAAATTTAATGCCATACAATATTTATGATAGGGGTTTGAGGCAAAATGACTTTTAAGTGACAATGATAAAGTTTAGTTACTTTTAAGTGATAAAAAATAATTATATGACTTTAGTAAAATTAAAAGATAGTTCAATGACCATAAG